ACATCACGCTAAATCACTAATAGAAGGTTACTCGAAAAAACAGACTGTTGAGTTAATAGAACTTAGCAGGCCGAACACCTGTGTTATTGTAAGATGAAACTGGACACTGCAATCTCAACAGACATCAATTTCATATGAAATTAAGTGACACTGATATTTGCAGATACTGCAATCAGGAGCGTGATGTGAGCTTCTTATCCAGAAATTTAGTATTCGTCTGGGACGACATAATATAATACACCAGAGGAAAGCAAACCCCTAAAAGCTAGAAACGTTTAGAGGTTTTTGGAAGCTAACGAGCTAAAAGAGATACTTTAACTTAGTTGGGAGTTACAATAGATCTTTAGGCTCGCTAACAGTTCCATCAGGATTGCATAACCCCAAAAATCCGAAAAATTAATAAGGTAAGGTTATTTCCCAAGACCGGTTAATTCGAGCGGCAAATCCGCTATGTTCTACATATCATAAAAATAAAAATTAAAAAAAGAACGGATTGATTCGCTGTCGCTACAACACTAGATTACAATAGCGGCGGGTCAGCGTAGTGCATTCACCGTGCGCTTGCGCCGCCCGCGGTGCCTTACTTTACTGCACAACAACCAACACTGCATGCGACTATCGCGAGCTGGAGTGGTCGAAACAACAAATAACGTTGTTGGTATATCCGTTTTAACTTAGAATATAGAAACAAAGTATAACGTTCCACAAAGGTCTTTGATTTCAAATTTATGAAAATATATCTAATATGATCTTGTGTACACATCGTGAATTTTGAGTTATGTAACTTAAAATTCACGATGTGTACACAAGATCATATTAGGTATATTTTGTATGTAACTTACGGAAATTTTGATATTTTATGTATTCTACATATTAATGTTGATAAAATAAATATTCGGCTAGCTTAAAGCTAAACGTATCGTATCTAATTTCGTTCGCCGTACTACTGAAACAGTTAAGGCTAGCTTTTGGTAGCGGCTGATTGCATAGTCACGCCACAGAATTGAAGGGGGACTCGTGACTCGCCTAAAGGCCTGTGCACATAATATGTCGGAATGCAAACTGATCAAAACCTTATCGCCTATCACTTCGAGCCTCGAGGCACCACGATACTAGCGGTGGTTAGTCTGTATTCGAGATGAGGATAGATGACAAAAAAATACTATATCGTGCTCCTCCGTACTTCGGAAGGCACGTTAAGCCATTGTTCCCACCCACCATCTTCATCGTCATCGTCATCACTTGTTTTCCATCCACAGGGTAGGCTTGTTCCCCAGCAATACCATGAGTGTTATTATTATTTCAGATTTTTGGGGCTATGAAGTCCTCATTAGGATTGAGTAGCCATTCCATTGAACTGTAGTCACTGCGATCTAAAATATCTATTGTGACTCGCCACCAAGTTGGATTATTTTTACTAGCCTGTCAGTATCCAAGAAGCTCAGAAAAAATCTAGCTTTTAGAAATTTGATTTCCTCTGGGTGTATTATTTATGTGGATAAGAGGCCCACATTCACATAGAAGCTGTTCTGGTGTTTCACGCCTCTGATTGCAGTATCTGCAAACATCAGTGTCACTTAATTTCACACGAAATTAGTGCCTGAGTTTACAGTTAGTAGTAACCTGTGCTACAGTGTCCAGTTAAGGCGCTTACAATAGCATGAGTGTTCGGCCTGCTAAGTTCCATTAACTCAATACTAATCCCTAGAGTAATACATACGCGTTTATTATCCTGTAAAATCATCTTGATGCCACTTTTGAGGATACATATTCTGTATCCCTTTTGGCAAATTTAACCACACCTTATTCTATAGCTTAGGTTATCTTACGCGGGAGGGATTGTCTCTGAAAGCGAGAAGTGGGGTACGTGACAAGTCGATTTTGCGATTCAGTGTGATGAAAAGGAAAGTTACCAATGCATTACGTGATAAAGGAGTATGCCATTTGTAGCAGCATTTATGTATCTCGATTTAGCTATTTCTTCAACTGGACTTCACATAATTTTAGGGGGTCTACCACATTTATTAAAAAGTAAATAACCTCCTAACTAGCTAATAATATAATCTCGACCTTTTGCATGCTTCGGAAGGTTCCAGCAGCATCTTCAATTGTTAGTGTTATATTTTTGTTAATTGACGATTTGAAACATTTTATTTATAACGAACATTAATTTATTAATCAACTACATTATTATTTAATTAATATAATCAACTTGCCATCCATACATCCATCTTGCACACCGATGATCAAGAGAGAGATCCGCTTCACAGATTACATGAACGTAGCTCAAACATAGATAGTCTTTCAGACATAGATTAACATTCACATAACAGTTGGCACCTACAATCCACTCTAAACTAGACCCGCGTGGTGGGAAGTTTTCGGTATGCCATCAATAGGGAAGACGTGTACCCCAGCAGTGGGGACATTAATAAGCCGATGACAACTTAGATTAAAATATTTTGTTTTAACATTCACATAACAGTTGGCACCTACATTCCACTCTAAACTAGACCCGCGTGGTGGGAAGTTTTCGGTATGCCATCAATAGGGAAGACGTGTACCCCAGCAGTGGGGACATTAATAAGCCGATGACAACTTAGATTAAAATATTTTGTTTTAATCTAAGTATGACAAAGATAAAAATACTGAATTTGCATAGTTATTTTCAAGATTCGTATCTGATATAAAATATATCGAATACCTAACAATGAAATATAGCGGGTCGCCTCGTCCTCACAATGTTTGCTCGGTCCAATGTCGTGCTCTTGGCGTGTGACATCAGCGGATCGCAATGTTGCGACCTTTATACAGCCTTTGCCAGGTTATTAACGTAATTAGAGCCCAACGTAGGTCCTTATACTTATTTGCAGTAAACAATGCACTCTCATTACCTTTACGGTAGTACGTATGAACCGCGAGCAATATAAAGTTACCAAAAGATTACAAGTTTTTCTCAATCGACTACGTATAGTAAATAAAGTAAGATAAAACTCATAATCAGTTACAGATTTTTAACAGTTTAGGTTAACTTGATACGTGGCTGAAACAAATGGCGAGCGCTCTACATTTCGTGATACTTTTATCCCCAGTAAAGAATAAATTACTTAATAAAATATAAAAGAACAGGTACAAATCTCTCTTAAAAGACAAATAAATTAAAATTTGCATAGAATGAGGATATTACATTCCATATAGACGTATATTGACACATGAACTATACAGAGCAATCTTGCGGGGCATTCCTTACCAGAAAAGGGAGTTCCCCAGCACGCAGCACGCTGAGTTCTGTGTAGTGATTACCAGAATTTCCTTTTGTCACTAGATCGAATATGTCGGTCCATTGCACGAATAAGTCCATATTAACCACACCTAAAGATGCAACATCTCACCACAGCTATTCCTAAGTAGCTGTCTGGAAACAATAAAACTTTCTATAGAAGTAAAAAATAAAAAGCACTTTTACGAATAACTTACGGATTACGAATCACAATGATGAAGAAGTCTTATGACCACGTAGTTCAATCCTCTATTCAAATGGTTTCCATTAAAAAAATATAATAATAAATATCACGTTTACGTATAGAACGGGTTCATACATAATTTATCTTGCTTTCGCTCAATAAAATACTGTCAAATTAGGAATTAATAGCAGCTGTTACAACAAATATCCTGCGAAAGCACAGTTACATGAATGCATCGATACCGCTACATCGCGACCCAGTTCCAATCGATATGAGAGAACCAGTCTAATCGATACTGTGACAGTTAAATCGATATAGTGACCGATTTTCTGAGTGCGAGCTTGTTATCTTAATATTAAGAGAACACAGGAGATAAAGAATTTTAGAGAAAATAATTTTAAGATTGATAGTGACATTGTTATATCCCCAATATTGACTCAACTTACTTTCACTTTGAATTATGATTTATATTTTTAGTTTTAATAATAGAAAGATCTTGATTTTGAGATCTTGTACCGGCAATTGAATATCCAAAACTGTAAAGTTATCCGAAACCTTAGTCGTTTAATAGAAGAACATTCACAGTTTGTCGTGCCAATCCGGAATTTGTGTGGTAGTAAAATCTGTGGTAATTGGCGCCAGAATAGCATAACAATGATAAGGTATATAAAAAAACTTGCATTGTACAACTGTATTTTATAAAATGAGTTATATAAAACTACTAAGTAAACTACTCATCAAATCATTTACGATGTTCGGATTTTAACGAAATATAAAAGAGAGGTTGTCCTTCGCCCATCTGCTTATCAGACGAAAAGTATGTTTCATCGAGTATTTTTTATAAAGAAAAATCTAAATTGCGTTGCCTATTCAAATTGTTCATTACTATTTTTAATAAAATAAACATTTTTAAACAAAATTTTATTATTTGGTAATTAAAAGAGTTAAAAATAATTTATTACAGAGGTTCATTATGGTCAATTTTTTTGAATAAAAGCATTTAAGCAAAAGCAATGTTACATTTTGACGGCAAGAGAAATAAAGAAGGTGGTAAAAAATGTAAAGCATCACCATTTTCTATCCTCATACGATGCATAATACTTATGCTCAACAAGCGTCTGTTGTTTTTTTTTCCTAAATGGCTTCGCACGGCTTGTGCATTTAGCTAATGTCAAGTGTTAAAATGTTTACAAATTCTATAACACTCGTAGTCAAAGTAAGCGGCAGTCAAGTCAAACCCCCTTTCCCTATGTTTCAGTAAATGTGTGGGGATTTACTGGAACCTCCCCGTGGACTTCTTGAGGGAACGTCGAAAGACACTTTCCGCTATTTTGTTTCACTTGCCAACACTTGTGCATGTTCCCGAATACTTAGTGGTTAATAATCCATTATTATTAGACACTAACATCCGCCACAATACAATTTTTAACAAGAAAAACAAAATTACTAAAGTGACGCTTTCCGATCCCGCCAAAAAGTTTCTGTTTGTTTAGATTGATTGTTATTTTTAAAGTTTTTTTTTCTTAATTTTTCCAGTTTTATGTCTGGCTGTGGGACTAAGCAACGCCCGGTGGGTGAGGCGAGGTCGCTCTCAGCAGCCCAGGGAAACAAGTTTCGTCGGAGATGCCACCAATGAACTTGCAACCGCCATTTTTCAGGTAAACAGTAACGATGTCTTGTCTGACCAAAAATACCTCCTCAAAATAAAACTTGGATATTTACGTTTTTTCCTCTTGATGATAGTTCTGAGAACCTTAGTTGAACATTATTAGCATTCTTTTGAAGTAAGCATTTGAAATAGTCTGTCGTAACTATGTTTAATTTCATTCACATTAAATAAAACTAGTTTTTTACGGGTTAATGCACGAAACTTTATTTATTTATTGACGTTTCGTAGCCTTTACAGGCTACGTCGTCAGAATCAAATTTTATTTATTTTTAGAATATAAGGATATATTTACAATGTTGTGTGATACATGCCATGATTAGAAAAGTATATATAATCAAGATGAAAGTGCAAACATCTTTAAATATCGCATTAGAACCATTAGTGGTCATGATTGAAGTTTGTAATAAAAAGTAGCTAATTATTTGTATAATCATTTCCTGCTATTGAAAATGTCGATGTTCGGAAACAAACATCCAGAGAAAGTCTTATATTAGCAGTGAAACTAGATGGCCGTATTAGCTCTCACGATACTAACGCTTTCTAAATAGCCGCATGCTACTTGAATATGGTATAAATACGTTTTATTTTTTATAATTTTCAGGGATACATAGACGATGAAAAGAATATTGCCTTCTCTCCGCTTGGCTACTCAGCTATCCTCGCTATATTAGCTGAAGGTGCAACTGGCGAAACAAGAGAGCAACTAGTCTCAGCTCTTCATCTTCCAAAAGATCAAAATTTAACGCGGAAAACTTACCGTTTCATTATGGAAAGACTGAAAAATACGCACGAATACAAATACAATCAGCCAGAGTTAAAGAATTACTTCTACATCTACAAGAACTACACAATCAATGAGGACTATAAGAAAATTTTGGAAGATTACTATTTGACTGAAGTGAGATCAGTTGAGAGGTATAACCCAGACCAAGAGTTCAATAAACCTTCGGGTAACGATGAAAATGGAGAATTTGTTGTTGATTTGCCCGATAAGAAACAGGATGATATAAAAAATGATGATATTCCTGAACTTATGCCACCCAAGGAAAGTGACGAAAAACTCATATCGTTTGCTGTTGAAGATACACCCGAAAAAATAGACATTACTCAGATTGAATACAAGCCAGCCAAAAATATCAAAGAAAAGATAAAGCTGGTGAAATCTGATTCCAAAAAGGAAGAATCAGAAGATGAAGAGGAGACTATGGTTGCTGTTGAAGCCAGAAATCATGCTAGAAGCTTAAAAGTTTTACAAGATAAACATGATATAACTTCAAGTATTTCGGTTAACAGTGTCGGCGGGAAATCTAGCAAAAGTAAGTGTTCATGATTAACTACATACGTATATTCATTTCCATAGATTAATTTCTAAAACAATTTTCATAAATAGTTCTAGAACTACTATATTTCCGCGACTTCATATACATGGAAATATTTGTGTCCCATACTACCCCCCCCCCCCCCACCCTCCACTTCCACCCCCTTAAAGAATGATTTCTAGGATAAAAGGTCTCCTTTCCCGGAACTCAAACTATTTTTACATAAGGCAATGTCTCATGAGTTTAATGAATTTATTATATTGCATATAACTGCTAGATTTATAAATAAACTGAACGAAAATTTTAATATAAACAAAAACTTTATAGTTTCATTAACTTTATAAGATGCACTAGTGGCCGCCCGCGACTTTGTCCGCTTTAACTTTACTTTTTTGAGTATCCCACAGGAACCTAACATTTTACTGAAATAAAGAGTATCCTGTGTCTCAATCCAGTTCATAAACTATAAATGCGTGCCAAATTAAATTCAATTCCGATCTGTAACAAATATACAAATTTACAAATTAATAACTTAATGTTAATCATAATATATCTTAAGGTTAATCATAACTAGCAATAATTATTTCTAATCAAAACTCAACCATATTTTTTAGCACCATCACATTCTCTGATGATAATCTTCAATGGCATGTACTTCCGTGGGTCCTGGAAGAAACCGTTTGATGTCGTGGAGCCTGGCGTATTTTACAAGTCCAGTACGGAGAAGAAACAAGTGCCTATGATGAAGACGAGAGGGACCTTCAAGACAGGATACCTACCTGGCTTGGACAGTGAAGTTATTCAAATTCCTTACGAAGTGAGTCACTTTTCCAATATCAGACCTTTGGCTAAAACAGGTTCAATTATTTTTCTAGTCGAACCAGAGGATTCCCATTTCGTATTTATCAATCATGACTGAGTTTATTTTCCATTGCTAAGCTGCCTATGACCCACTGTTTATATAAAATAAAATCAAGATACAAATTTTACTGTAATAGTAATGTATAATCTCACTGTCAAGTTTCGATATTTCTTTCAGACATTACTTATAACTAATTTATAATCAGAATAACGATTGAAGTAGCCAGTGACATTTAACAATTGACAAAAACTGCTTAAGACTGTAGGGTACGTTGAATTCTTAGAGGAACTTTTTTTAAAAGTACGAGAGCCCACGACCAAAATTTTTGTCTCATAGCAATACGGCCAAAACCGCATCAAATCGATAGATACGATTATCTTGAACTCGAAAATACCAATATCAGACATTTTCCGCGTAGCGTTTGATCTGAACGAATTTTCAAAATTGTCAAAGAATTTTACCGAACTGCATCATAGCAATATGTCTGATTTGCAGACTGTAGTTGAATGATAGTTCTGAGATACGTCCTCTTCTGTAAAATAAACATTATTTTTCGTTTTTGGGAGTATATGCTACACTTAAAGTGTCTGAAAACAGGTTTTTGGTAATCATGGCAGCAATACGAAAAGTTGAAAAAAATAAGTATCCGTATTGCTATGATACAGGTTTCTAAATTTGTTGACATGTTCAAAAATGCGCTCAGGCTATATGCTACGCGCAAAATGTCTGAAAACAAACTTTTTCCTAATACAATTATAAAATCTATGTACATTTTCACTATCAGACGTATTGCTATAATACCGACTGTCTTTTTTTTTGACACAGCAGAAATGGCCTCCCACGCAGTTGCTACACTTTCGACCGTTACTACACACCTAGTCGGGTTCAGAATCATACAATCTAACGATTTTATAGGGTTTTAGCCGTATTGCTATGAGACATGGTTTTGGTCGTGGGCTCTCGTACTATAAGCTTGGAAGGATATTTGTCCACCGCGGTGAATAAAGATCCAGCTCCTAGATTCTGCAACTACAATTTATATTGTTTTTTTTGTGTGTTTTTTGTGTTTAACTATCGATATTCGATTCTGAAACGAAGTTTTCTGACGGTACAGATTAGGCGAAAAAAAGTATACATTTTTCCGGCACAACCGTCAGTTGTTTCGTAGCGTATTGTGTATAGTTTGTGTGCTTACTACTTATACTTATGTTTATTTTTAACTTTGTTACAACCGAGTGTTCAACAACACTGATGTTTCTTTTTTTTGTATCAGGGTGGTCGATATGCATTAGCCGTGATTGTGCCACGGTCGCGTGATGGATTGCAAAGACTGGCTGCTGAACTGCCCGGCGCGCCGCTGACTCATCTTGCCGACACTCTGCAAGAAGAAGATCTACAGCTAGCCCTGCCCACCTTCTATGTGGAGACAACTACCAAACCTGTCGCTGCTTTAGCTAAGGTAACTTTTAACTAAGATAGCTAAAACTGTCCGGCTTTCACTCCTATAGGAAATCACCATCCATGCAAGCATGTTTTTAAAATAAATAAGTTATGTAACTTAGAACACATTTCACCAATTACTGATATAGCTTATCTGCCTTAAAATACTATCTAAAAGATAAAGTCTGCTGGTCACCTCTGTTTGATCTGCAATAGTTTTTTATTCAAAATCTGTGCAATCGAAATTTTTGGCATATAAGTAAAAGGGCTGAAACAGCCGATTAAAGATTTTTTAAGTTTCCTGAATTTTGCACATGTTGACTAACATTGCACCATATAAACGGAAAGGGGTGATTTGGCCATGCTTCACCACGCGAGTCCAATGGCCTTTTAAAGGATGCTAATGACTGCAGACGTAGCCAAGATCAACGGCTCAACGTGATTTCTGAAGTACGGAGGAGCTCGAGATAATACATTTTTGGTCACTACGCTCGACCATTGCGAAAGTTCCATAGCTTCCGAACGCACTAACCACTGTGTCATTAATCTCCTTATTACTCAGACAGAAGGCCTACTAGAAATATAAAAGCGATAGTCGGCCCAAGACTCGTTATTCCAATCCAATGTTTATAGTTAAGACCTTAATGCACTTAGAAACAGAGTTGATATTTTATGCATTCATACGACGAACTTCGGCCGAATGTAGTAAGTTCCCAGTAGTAGTGATTTGAAAAATCTAATTTCTCGGACTTACCAGTTCTAATACTCGTACGAGTATCTATCTCTATCAGTAACTTACTAATTTGATAATGTTCTGTTATTTCCAGTTCGGCGTGAGCGCGATCTTCAGCCGGTCAGCAGAGTTATCCGGCGTGTCTTCAGCTGAGGGTCTATTCGTGCAGGAGCTCGTGCAGCACGTCGCCGTGCGCGTCGACAACGCAGATTCGTCCGCCTCCAACCTCGCAGGTACTGATCATAGATACAAGTGGCGCTGTCTGACGTTTTTTCAGCTTAAGCTCTATTCGTGCAGGAGCTCGTGCAGCACGTCGCCGTTCGAGTCGACAACGCAGACCCATCCGCCTCCAACCTCACAGGTACTGATCATAGATACAAGTGGCGCTGTCTGGCGTTTTTCAGCTTAAGCTCTATTCGTGCAGGAGCTCGTGCAGCACGTCGCCGTGCGCGTCGACAACGCAGACCCATCCGCCTCCAACCTCGCAGGTACTGATTATAGATACAGGTGGCGCTTTCTTTCGTTTCTTCAGCTAAAGGTCTAATCGTGCAGGAGCTCTTGAAGCACGTCGCCGTGCGCGTCGACAACGCAGACTCAACCGCCTCCAACCTCGCAGGTACTGATCATAGATACTGGTGGCGCTTTCTGGCGTTTCTTTAGCTAAAGATCTATTCGTGCAGGAGCTTTTGAAGCACGTCGCCGTGCGCTTTGGCAACGCAGATTCATCCGTTTCCAACCTCGCAGGTACAGACCATAGATACCGGCAGGGCCATTGGGCGCGTCTACGGCAGGGGCTTTTCATGCAGCATAAATAAAACGGATTAGAATATAAATGGAAGGAGAATGTCATCATCATCAACTTATTAACGTCCTTTCCTATGGATGGAATAATAAGATTGGGTCATGACCCACCACACCCGCCTACTGTGGATTGGTGGGTGCTAAAGCCTGCAGATGTAGCCTTGTAGTTAGATATATCAATCAAGCAGTTAAACTGTTAAAAATAAAAATGTAATAAAATGTAGTTGATTAATTAATTAAATCTTGTAATAGATTTATAACTTAACTCACTGTAAATAAAGGCTATAAATAAAAGTTTTTTCGTGATAAATAAAAAAAATAATGTAACAGTTAAACCTACTTTATGATGTTTGTAATTGCTAATTGAAAATATTACTTACGTTTTTCTTTTTAGTTGCAGAAGCAGTAGATGAGCTGGAGGAACTAAAGAGTCTCCCCTTGAACGCGAAACTACCAAGAAAGTTCAACGTGGAACACCCGTTCTTGTTCTACATCATCGATTGCCTAGACAACCTCGTCGTTGTAGCTGGCAAGGTCATCGATCCAGAACAACCAACGCCATTCGAAATTTAATTTAAAATTTAGGTCATATTCAAATCTGAGAAATTATTTGAATTTAGAATGTTGGTACAAGGATAACATTCTTAATTCAAATAATTTCAAACACTCCATCTTTGTCAATGGTTTAAAGTCAAATAGAGATAAAATAAGGCTAAAACACTATTAGTATTCTCCTTAGATTAAAACAAAATGGGAAGATGCGAAACGGCGAGTCCTCGTCGTTTGGCTTGGCGACTGCGTTTTCTTTTCTCTCTCGACAAGTGGCTGAGCTGTATTGTTGTCCTTTTCTTGATGACAAATGGCTAAAAAGTAAATACCATTCATGACAAACCGAACGATTTTTGTAGAGAAAAAAAATGTTTTCATTGTTTTACGCAGAAGTTTTGCGTAGAGACGCTACTGAAGTTCGAGCGGAGTGAACCACGATCGAGCTCTGTGACGTCACACGTTTAGGCCGCCGGTGAATATTGGCTACCATAAAATTAATAAAATCGCAACGAATGATCCGATTTCGATGATCTAAAGCGAATTGCAGTCATGCACCACAATTTAAGCGAATCACTTTGGAACCGCGAGTGCCGTATCTTCCCCTTTTGTTTTAATCTATGGTATTACCTATTAAATTTGATTTCAGAATTCCGGTGCAAATTACGGTTGCACTAATGAATGATGATATTCAAATCCGAAGTTCCTTCAAATTCCGATACCTTTCATACAGCTGAATATATGTTTCTAATATTTGAAAATTCGTTTGGTTGATTTTTAACAATTAATCGCATGGATATGATCTAAATTTACATTACTCAAAATATTATATAAATACAAATGATATTTCACTTTCCGTTTACTTTTGTAACAGACAATTTACTATCAATTTATCATCTACGTTGGACTCGGCTACATTAATTAAATTTTATACATTAATGAACTCAGCTACATTAATCAACTAAATTTGTTTTAAGTGTTTGATGACCTTTAAATTTAATTTAAGAACTGAGTGATACTTTAAGCATAAATAGATGATTTTAGGAATAATTAAGGTTCAGAAAACTACATAAATAGACTATTATTTCAAATAATCGCAGGTTTGATGTTTATTTATTTCAAAATGGAAGGATTGTAACTTTATAAATCAGCGTTTTCTTTGTCACGTTTTGTGTTACTGTGTTAAAAGCTTGTTTACACTAAATTCTAACTTAATAGTACATCTTTTATTTCGAATATACAGTTTCAGTAAACAATATATTTCATATGGCATAAAAATTTTGGTATACGTCAATCAATAATCTATTTTGCTGCTTTATTTTCAAATTCAGTTTCGAATACATGACATTCTAATTTCAAATATTCCCACCCTTTTTAGCTGTGACAGCAACTCCCTTTTAAATAATATTCTAAAAAACCAGATGCATTTGATAAGTAAAAAGTACACAGCTTAGCTTAAGGTAGTATTAATTTAGTTGTTAAGTATTATTTATTATTATTGTGGCAGATGTGATAATGTGTCGAGAGATTATTATATTATTTATTATTAAACAGTTGTTTATCTTTTATTTCTACCTTATGGTTGCGTTGAACGGATCGTTTGGTTTCATTTAATGTGTGTTTGTTATGAAGGTAGTTTTATATTACACAATCGCTGACGCCAAAAGTAAAAGCGGTTATATTTTATGATTTGGAGAAGCGCGCTGGTCGTCGCCTGTGAGTGTTGTAAATCAAATATAATATTTAAAGTGTCAATTATTAAGTAATGCAAGTACAGTAATGGCAGCTGAAAAGGAAAACGTGAATAGGTTAAAAACAATAACAAAGATTCCCTTGCCAGTGGATCCTTTACCTGCGTTGCCCAAACATTTATTCGAGATTAAGAGTAAAACGAATATGAATGCGAGCGAGTTGAATAATCGCTTAGCCGAAAGCAAGAGTAAACCAAAAGATTTAAACGAGAGATATCCTCTTAGAACATTGAATTCACAACAAAATTTAGCTGTACCCGGCCCCAGTCATCGCACTAAGGAAGCTGATGTCAGACCAAAACAGAAGATAGATGCCCGTTACGTAACACGAAGACCGAAAACAGAAAACCTGGATTGGGATTTCAGAGTCTTCAAGGATGATGTTACACAAGAAGACAAAGTTATTATAATAAGTGATGATGAGGATAGTAGTAAAGAGAAAAAGTACAAATTCTTCGTAGCTAACAAGCAAAAAAGTTGCCTTGGTGAAAGCATGGCAGCAGTAACACCCGCTGTAAAAAATCTAGAACCAAATAGAGTGAAAAAACTGAAAAGGAGCTTGAAGAGACCACATAGTAGGGAGCTGCAGGGTCTGCCTTCTGAGGCTAAAGAGCAAAAGAAAGTAGGCGATAAGATAAGGCCGAAACTGTATTTCAATGAACCTTTACAAGAGAGGTTAATGTCCCCAGACTTTTGTGAGTACCTTGTAGAATGATATGGCATTGAAACATTAATAACAGCATATGTGTGTTGCAACCGATTTCAATTTATAGTAATAGTCCAATTTAATAGGTTGAAACTGTGAAGGTGATAAATCAGAGACACTAATAGAGTCGTGTATTGAAAATGGCTCTAAATTACATCTATATAATATTTCTCGAGGAGTGAACAGAGTATGTACCAACGGTATTTTCATCATCATCATCATCATCAGCCTATTAATATCCCCACTGCTGGGGCACAGGCCTTCCCTATGGATGGAATAGGGAGATTGGGCCATGACCTACCACGCGGGCCCAGTGCGGATTGGTGGCTATAAAACAACTGCAGATGCAGCTGCGACTAATGGCTTAACGTGCCTTTCGAAGCACGGATGAGCTCGAGTTAATAAATTTTTGGTCACCCATCCAATGACCGACCACTGCGAAAGTTGCTTGACTTCAACGATCGCAGCCGAACGCGCTAATCACTTGCGCCATCGAGCTCCTCGGTATTTTACGTACGTAAAAAAAGGTAAATTTAAAAAATCAAAAAACCCGACTGCTTAATTATACTTCAAATAAAAACCGAAAAGAAAAAAACAAGTCCAGTAGTCTATAATTCTGTTAATAAGGAACAAAGCTGCTTTAACAGTCGGGACCCATTAGATATTCAAGAATACATAATATTTTTCAACAGTGGGTCCCGACTGCTAAAGTAGCTTTGTTCCTTATTAACAGAATTATAGACTACTGGACTTGTTTTTTTCTTTTCGGTTTTTATTTGAAGTATAATTAAGCAGTCGGGTTTTTTGATTTTTTAAATTTACCTTTTTTATTTCACACTTTTTAGTTAGTATTTTAAGACGGTATATACCGTAGTCTTGTTACTTCAGTAAGGGAATTAATATCGCGGGAATTATTAAGTACCTTGCGTCGGTCTAAAAGATTGATTTATTAAGACATATAGAGACTTTACCAGCGGGGTCAAGGCTACAGATGGGCCTCAATTTTCGCAAAAATGTGTGAAGTTAAATCAAGTCGTTACATAAATATCTCTAATGTATGTAAATTTAATAGTAAACTAGAACTTACTCAAAAAGTCATCTTTTGTTTATGTTTTGAAGTTATACTTCTTTAGCCGCGTTATGAAAAAATTATGAGAGTGAAATTTTAAGATGCGCGCGCATCACTGTAACACAAAAGTAGCATAATGAAGTTAGCCGCGGGCGCGTTATGAAAAAATGATGAGAGTGAAATTTCGAGATGCGCGCGCATCACTGTAATAGTAACACCATGAAGTTGGCCGCGGGCGCGTTATGAATGTTAGTGTCTAATAATACCACTAAGTGGTTAATAATCCACCATTATTAGACATCTGTTCGAAAGGTACTTTGAACGATCCACGGAGCTCCATAAGATGATCGCGTTGTCAAAAACAATGTTGGCACGCTCGTCGCCTCTGATCACTGTTTTCATATTTATAATATTTATCCACATGTTTCTAGTTTCTATATAGACACAACGTGTTTTCGTTACTTACAAGTGCTAATTACATATGGACTAATAATTTAAATTCAGTAGTGATTTTATTTGAATATTTTGAATATTTATTTTATTTTTCAAATTAAAACTGAACTTAATTGACTGTGTTAACTATCCTTTTCCAGTCCTTTTATTATTTTATTGTAATTATTTAATTATTAATTATTTGCATGCAATTAAAAAATATTTTTAATGATGCTAAAGAAGTATAACTTCTCACGCGCGTACATAAGTTACACGCATCCATTTTTTTTTAATAGTTTAGCAGTAAATATAAAATTCATTTACTTTTATTCGTCGACTATTTAAAATTGGCAGTGGCTGCATTGTCATGTCAATGCCGGACGTCTAAAATTGTGATATACACAAATTCAGTGTCAGTCCCTAGTCTCATAATTTGATATACCTACATAATTCACATAAACCCATATGTAGATGCCAGAAGTTAACTTCAAATGTTTTTAATCACCCTATATACAATACCAATCAATGACGTTTATGTCGCAGGTTGAAGAAAGCAGTAATTCCCGTTTGTTGTTTTGGACAATGGTGGCAACTGCCTTAGATCACTAAATTAAATAATTATGCAATCACCAAAGCAAAGTTTATAATATTTGATTAAACTAAAGGCGCATAATAAAATTTTCATAACGTTAGATAGAGCACCATAGCAATCTCATTTATTATCAATTTATAGTTCTCTTTGTGGTTTTCTTTTAAAGCGTTCACATATAACAGGTCAAAGACTTTGTGTTCGACCCTTTTTTATTGGTAGTGTAAAGCTCAAATGAAGAGTACTCCCAGTAGTGCAAACTCGGCAATTACTTTCACAATTTTTATTTTGTTATAAAAATAGCCAATAACGTATCACTGTAAAGCACAAATGCTAAGTAACTTTTACAAATATAATCAAATAAATCTATTACTTACTTTATTTTCAAATCTTTTTCATCAATTAAATACTTATCTTATCCTAACTATCTATACTAATATTATAAAGCGGCAAGATTTGTATGTTTGTAACAAATAATCTGACAAACTACTGAACCGGTTTCAAATATTAATTCATCATAAGGTAGCTACATTATTTATTATTACATTTTTCTTTATTTAAATACATTTTGTCCGAGTGACATAGGCTATATTTTATCCCGATAAATAAATTTCGCCCGTACAATGCCCGGGTGGATCACTAGTAAGTATAATATAATTTTATAGATGTGAAAGTGAGTTTGTTTGTTGCACTTCCGTGCCCTAATAGCTAAATCGAATATAATGAATTCCCATACAGAAGTAGACGGGAACTTGGTTCTTAGCTACAACATCGCAATACTTATAGGTATAGGGTGATGAAAGGGGTGATTTACCTATAAAAATCTACATTATTTACTTTGAATTTTGCAGAATTATTACAAAACCAATATTATCGCGAGCTGATTAATAAATACAGGGATTCCAATAAGTATGTACTTACTAGCGAAAAATGGGTTATTTGTCATTATATTAGGTAAACCTTTTTTGTAACATTAAGTAATATCGTTAAAAAAATGAAAAACAGTAAAATTCTGAGTTTTTCATTAAAATTCAATAATCATAAATACCTATTATGATAATATATTTTTCATCATTTAATAAGAAGGAACTGTATCACAGTTTTATTGTGTTAGTGCTTCGTATAGGATCAGATACTGCGAATAGCCCATTTTTTTTTCTTTTACATAGTACACCGCGCTATCACTTGGTCATCGTTGTAACTTTTTAAATATTTGTCCAAATGACATAGTGCAAAAAGCAAAGTTTATCGTCTTTAAATATCAAAAGCGATAAAAGTATTTGTTTTGATAAAAAATGATTTGTTAATACAAATTGTGCATTTTGGAAATGGATATCAAATAATATTTTAGTTTTGATTCACTATTTTAGCGGTAATGACTTACACATTAAAAATAGATATATGGTGTCACGGACTTTTATTTAGAACTATTTAAGAGATACATTTTTACTCTACATTACATTTATGTAACTTTTATTGTTTTTGCAGTGCAGGCCAAAATGGCTCGCAGATGGGAGATTTTTTTCCGTCTTATGTGACACTTATTGTTATATATTGGCCAATTCACTCAATAACTACATAAATTATTATATATATGTAATTATCATATATGAGCTATATTACTGTTAAGTTTCATTAAAATCCATTCAGTATTTTTTAGGTGAAAGAGTAACAAAGATCCATACAAACGTAAGATTGAAATTAAAAGCGTAAGTGGTTAATATACAACTTTAAAGCGTTGTAGATCCTGAACGTTCCTATTAAATGAAAAATGGTGTTAGGAACCTAAATATGATTTTTGATTATCTAGACAGTGATACCCCACTCGACATATTTTGTCAACTTATTTTTTTACTTCGTCACAATATGGCGCCTAATTTTGCCCATATTGAATTTTGATTACTATCATATCTTTAGTAGCACTCCCATGATTGAGACGAATCGATTGATGTATGAATCATCAAAATCGGTCTAGGCGTTTGGTCTCTAGTGTGCCACAAAGGAACAAACATACATATATAGACTGTTAAACACATAACCCTGTCTGCGCGTCGCGCTTCGCGCTCTTGCATTGCGCAGCCGGGTAAAAAGGACAACGTAAAGCGTATAGCCCATTTTATGGTAAGCGGCCATAGACATTTGCGATACCAGAATTTCCCTTCCAATCCTATCTTCTACTCTGACGAAAAAATCGTTTTAATGCTAGGCTTTTAAAGAAAATTTAAGGAAAACGATTTTTTTACTTTCTACTAAATATATAAATGTACCACATCTTCACGATGCCGTACTTGGCACTGATTAGGGCTTACTTGTTGTCTAGAGATAATGGTACAGGGTTTTCTTTTGTCTGCATGAGTCTCTGTAACAGGTACTTAATTCCTTTAGCTGTGATTGAATTTCGGGGAAGTATTGGGGGGGGGGGGGAGAGGGGTTACCTCCGACTCCCCCCCACAAAAGATTTTTGGCGGAAATGTGTTTAAAATAAAATACCTGACCTAAAAAATCATTTAATCTGTTAAATATAGAAGAATTTCAAGGGGATTAAGGAGGACACCTCAGTGGAAGGGATAACCTCCTTCCAGTTACTACATTTTTTACAGATATGATAATTATAAAAAATTAAAGGGGTTTTAATGGTAAAACTGTACTTCCAGGGCCAAAAAGGTGATAACTACTTGTTTGATTTTGTAGAAAAGGTCTCTATTACCGAATTTTTCTTTCTGGCGCTTCGACGGCCGCTGCCGCGGCATGCTCGCTCAGCTCGCGCATTATGGTCACAACACTATTTTGCTATTGTCAAAATGACAGATATACCGCAATTTTTTATTTTTATATAATTACCAACATAATAAACATATTTTTACCACAGATAACGAGATATATGTTATTTTTGCATGAA